TAAAAATTCCTCAAACGCGAACATCCTCTATTCTCGTACCCGTGCATTTTCATATTCCATAACCTAACGAGATTCGCATTCCCTCGGTATGCGCGTCTTTCGCAAAGCTCCGGTTCATCCACAAAGTCACTGTATAAACTTGCACAATGCACTCGGGGCTTTACGTGGCGTAAGCATATGAATTGTGGTATCGCTCGATAGAAGCGTCTATTTCAAAGTTGTCCTTCCCTTTGTCTATAACGCGGCATAAAATATCACTAGAATTTCTAGGGATTTGTAGCGGAGTAATTCCGCAAGACGGAATTAACCCCATAATTTAGCGGGTTGGCTCTCCGCGCATTTTCTGCAAAACCCCCGGAAAGCTATACTGCCTTGAGTCTAATGTTCGCCAAGAGTCGCCCGTCCGTCCGTTCCCATCCCCTACTGGCACCCCCTCCCGCCCCCTGGAACAACCCCCTACAACCACCGCGGCATCCTTCCGTCTATTCTGGATTTCCGCGAAGCGTCGAGACGCCTCGAGTAAATCTTGGCTAGCTTGATCAATCTTCACCCTCGCGTTACTTCACGTTAATGCTGGGCTTGTGGATCTTGGGAAGAGAAAGTAAAAGAAAAAAGAATGTAACGTTAACGCGAAAATACCATTTCGCTTTATACGTTTGCCAAGTTAATACGATCGCCGTTGTTAAAATGTATTCTTTGCTTTTTCCAAGGTTTTCCCTGCGCTAACTATTCCCGCCGCACGAGCCAGGGGAGAATCGTTTGCGCGACGTGAGGCTACGAAAAAAAGTGGTAAGCAAGCACCGGCGGACGCTGATTGAAAATTATTTATGTGCAGGAAAATACAGAGTAAAAGTGTATAGGGCGTACCTCGAGGGAGGTATTTCGCGAGCCTGATGTCTCAAGTGCAAATTGAGGTAGGGTCTGCGCGCCCGTAGTGTCCTTGATATTTCAGAGACACTTTCTATGATTAGATTTTCATCGTATTTAACAAACTCATCCACGTGGTTCCTCGTTCTTTACATATTTCCCATTTTCGCAATTTTTCCAACCCGCTCCACACGCTCTTTATTCGCTCGCCGACGAGAGCTGGACGCCCGACGACTAGAGCCGCCCTGAAAATCACTTTGCTCCTGTGTTTACGTTACCACTTTAGCAGCTTCGAGTAGACGCGGCTAAATGATACCTCCGTAAAATGACTAACACTGTATAAATCGCGCAGTTTCAGCACGTCGCTGGTCGAGAGGCAATAAGCTCCCTCGCGAGACGTGAGACAAGCATCGGTTAGGCGAAATCCACGAGAAGCATGACTGGGTAAAATTTTGAAAAATTTGAAAATCCAAAAATAATTTGTAGAAAAAAAAAACGAGTTTCCACGAATAACAAGAAATTCGAATTCCGAGAAAAGTCTAGAATTTCAGCGTTACTCCTCGGCGAGGGATGACGAATGTAATGCATCCCCGGCATTAGCGCGCGAGGGTAATATAATTTATGGAATACGAAATGTCGATGTGGAATTTTTCTTCGCGGAATAGCAAAACGAAATGGGACCGTAATCGAGGATGTATGGCTGTGTACGAAGATGATAACGTACCGGGATACTCGAGCCGAACGAACCGTCCCGCAAGGAAGGAACTTTCAGATTGGCCATCCAGTCGAGTTGGAAGGGACATTACAATATATTGAATATTCTCCGGGCGAGCTTTCAGAAAAGAGACAGGAACTGTTTAAATGACTAAACTTTAAACTTTCACTCGCGTATGCAAACTAATGCAAACCGGAGGCTTGTGGAAGGAACTGCAAACAGCTCACTCGGGAGACCCTTCCCCGTTCTCGACACTCCGCTGCCGCCTATATTGGGTGTCCTAATTTTCACGCTACTATAGCGCCGCTTTATCCGAGTGTTTTCGCTTAACCAAATGAAGACTGAGTAAGTACGTCATTAAGAGTGCGAATGTATTCATTCTACGAGCAGGTGAGTTCAACGGCTTTCCAGCTGTTGTCGTCAATATTTTACTTCCCGATGACACCGTACACGCACTGTTAACCCATTAATTAAAAGTTCAATCCGACCTCTGTAATCGCCAAATTATTATTACATATTCCACGATCGTACCATATAATCCACTGACACTGTCAACCTTCCGGGTCGAATAACGAGTCAGCGATATTATATCTCCTCGTACCACCCACCCACCGTTTCCCCACTCAATCCCGATAGCCAACAGCAGTTTTAACGGTGACTTATCAGCAAGAAAAATAATAATCGCTCCTTCCTATAGCTCAATATGGCGATTCCTTAATATCGGAGCGATAGCTCCTCGCGTCACTGAAATACTCTCGCTAAATGAAACGCTAGCTCGGTCTCGTCAGCAATCACTGGTGCGGACTAAAATTTCCGGATATCCCGTCTACGACCCAGTTTTAGGCACATGGCAGTACATAATTTATGCCTAGAGCCTCTAGAAAAATCTTTTCGTCGGCTACGTACATAGTGCCTGGTTAACGGGTAGGTATTTTTCAAAGGTTCAGTACATATTAGTGGACCATCGACGTATCCTATATGGGTCCAGTCTCGCATACAAGGACAGTGATAGGTGTATCTTGCGCGGAGCTTGTTTTAAAGGAATTTTAACCTCCTTATCGACACTCCATTTCGTCTTCGTTGATAAAGATGGGATTTCCGGGATATTCCGCGTGGTTAGGTGAAAAATCTCGGGTTCAAAGTCGAGTTTGTGTTCTCGGAGGGCGAGAGTGAATGCGGAAGGCGTTGCACAGGCTTTGGACGCCAAGCGAGTTGTCAGGGGATAAGGTCTTCTTAAATCAGTTAAGTAAGCATGATCCTGATGGAGCGAGACTCGGAGGAAAGGAGGTCAGGAAAAGTGTAAAGGAGTCGAAAGTCTTTATATCCCTGAAGCAGACGATAGTGTAAGCTCGGATGAAAATTTAATTAAAACGTATAACGAAATTTAAATGACGCCGATATCCTCGAGCAGATAGAATTTTTATTTGTCGGACAGGCAAAGAGAGCGATGTTCCTGTAACATATTTTTTCAAATAATTACATGTAAAAAAAATCAAACCGAACAAGGCAACGAAATTTTTTCTTTTCATTTTAAATTCAAGAACGACACTTCATTTCGGCAATTTATATCGCGATGAACCACTCTCCCACGATCCTATCGAAATCGATGTTACTTAAGAACCCTTAGGGAAACGGTAATTGATTTCAGAAAAAAAAAAATTAATACAGAATGAATCTTGATTCAGCTTCGTGAATCTGTTCGATAGGTGATTGATTACCTCTGCCCCCTTCGATAAGGCTTATGGGAATATCTTAGGGTGACAGATTCTTCAGGGGGTACGATATATAATAAATATATTCAATTAAATATCTCACAGGAAGGGACATTGACGAATACCCCCCCTACCTCCCCCTTAAAAACCATTTGAGTGTGTCAAATTAATTGAATATCCTGTAATCAGAGAACTCCTGGTTTGGTAATCAATTACGTTTCACGTATATAAACGTTAAGCTAAAATCTCTCCTATCAAACGACTCAATACTTTGTTACGGTATGATTAATTGTAATGGCCCTCTCCCAAACGCTCTGATAACACAGAATGAATTTGAAAACTCGTAACAATTTATCCTGATATCGCGGATAGCACGGTTTCCCGGAAACCAACAAAAACCCTCGTATGGAGTATGCCATACGGTATATGGATGTCAGTGAACATCGCAAGTAATTAAAGTGAAAATTGTACAGTCAATAATACAATCTGTATAACCTCTGTGAGGAGTACCATCGAAAAATTGCTTTTTCTATAATTTCGCGAGCTACGTAATTTTACATATTTTGAAATGACCCAAGAAAATCTCTCTGGTGCGGAAGAAGAAAAATTTTATTTCTACGTAAAAACGAAGTTGCCGCAAAGACAGTGCCGAGAGAGCACCGGTGCCGACGTCTTTATACTTTGTAAGTCTATTTTACGAGAGGGAAATATTTTACTTTAATGGTATTCCACGACATTGTTTACGTTTACGATATGAATATCATTGTTGCAACTCCAAATCAGTTGGAATAATACGATGGGAAAATACAGTGCATCCTACGCAACCAGCGAATGGAAATTACGCCATGGGACATAAAACGTACGTCTCTTGTTCTTTCACGTGTGAATCTCTACCAGCTATTCTGACTCGAAATACAGAAACAGTTGGATGTCGCTGTAAAACGTAAAAGGCATGACAAAAAAAAAAGTGAATTTTCACATAAGTAAATATACTCAGTATATTTTTTTTTAAGGACAGCAGCTATACCACATTCCTCTCAACGGATAATATTACGTACGCAGTGACTACTGCATTCTTTGTAAAATATATCCTGTCCTATCCGATGACAATCGTGTCCGTATTTTTATTTTTGTCGTTGCGCACGTCATTTTAAAAGCATAAGGCATCCTTCATGAAAATCCCCAATGCTTTTGAAATGTATCACGTTATGAGGAAAAGTAAGAGCAGCGAGGAACGCACGTATAGACACTTATCCGCGACTCAAGGCTATCTTACGCTAGTAATACAAATGGCTGCCGTAGGATTTTCCTCCCTACTAAAATAAGCCAATATATTACGGATGTAGAAAGCTCCGACTCGGCGCCAATTTTTAGCATCAAAATATTATCGCGTATTACGTACTGGCCCTATCTCCAGATACTCCTACGAATTTACTGCGGCCAAAAAAATACTTCACGACGCTCATCGACTCGTTCGCAAGGATCTCCAATATGGTCGGCAAACACTTGCCAATACTTTTAACTGCAATTTATCTCCTTCCAGACTTAACTACTCTCTCATCTAAAAGAACTAAATCGACCGTAGTTTATCTTCGAGTAGATGCCTCCCCTTCCAGTTTACCTGGCTCTTGAATCCTCGACGCCTTTCTACGTACGTATGTATATGAGTCAGCGGTATATATATAGATATATATATATATATATAGTATATCTCATTTGATGTCAGTCGTTTCACAGCTTAACTTTTAATTCACACGAGCAGTCGTCTCAGAGATTTGCTTGATGCGCGCGTCGCCAGGTCACATCTTGATAATTAAGATAAAATTAGATCCTGGAAAACGAGATTTAAAACAGCAATTTTTACTCTTTTGAACGTGAATGTGTCACTTGTGAAGTAATTGTTAATTCTTGTTAATAGGAAAAAGTTCAAGTGTGATAATACCAGTAAGTTGAATTTGATTCATGAAAATTATATGCATACGCAGCCGAAACTCATTGGTTTGTTGACGAATGAGGGTGCTCTGTTCCTCCCCTTCGTATGTGTATACGGAAATGGAAAATCAGCCAGTATAAATTAATCTTGACGATCGCATATGTCATTTCATCGAGAGTACTCCGTTACGGGTTTTTTTTTGTTTTCTTTTTTCGTTTGTTCATCGCCAATTTTTTTTTTATTTTTCAATTATCGTTTTTGCGATATTCGCTCGTATCATTTTTAGGGTGTTATGTGCTAATCACATTCGAGTCTATAGATCATTTCGTGGAAATGCGTGGAGACAGAAATAATATACAAATGACTCATCGCTGAGATTGACTTTTGTGAATCAGGTATTAGACAGAATTTTGAATTATTCAGGATGCTAGGAGATTTGCACTGTATTTTTCCGGGACTGCGCATTATCGTAAAGCACCTTATTTTTTTAAATTATAATGCCACATACATTTAGTACCACCCGACAGTCTGGAAATACTGAGTAATAAATTATTTTTAATCCCGTTGCACTAGTCGTAATGGTTACTCGCGGATGGTCCTTACACTGTTTCTCTTAGCAAGAATAAAATATAGGAAAAATTTGAAATGATTTATGTGAAATTCAGTATCATCGAATTATTCAATAAATCGCGACTGTTTTAACTGTGTTTATAGTTAGAAATTGCAACAAAAATTCAATTTAAATGGTTTCCAGTTAGTTTATTTTTTTTAAGCATCACTGTCCTCCCCAATTTTTACAACGATTTTATAAAAACCTTTCAGTTTTACATGAAAGTAAGTTTATCCTCTGTGATACGTTAATCGATTGGTATTTTCATTTTCAATTTTTTTTTGCGACCGTGAGAGAACAAGAATTTTTTATTTTCTCTTTTCTTGATTAAATAGCCAGAGGATACGTTTTCGGCTTGGAATAATATAAAAAATTGAACAAATAAAAAATTATGGATCATCACGATTTGGTTTTACGGAAACATTTTTTGTCCGTACCAGTATACATTAAAATAAACTTCATTGGAGAGAGACTAGATCTTACACATTAAATATGCAACGTTGATGCAATGTCATTATGTCGCGTGTAAAAAAATTGTATAACAGAAAAACCCTCTGCGTATGTTGTATCAGCCTTCTGCATCCTGGTACACGCTTACCTGAATCACAAGACGTCAAGAAATTGTAACACGTACGTGAACGTACTCTCGATGACGACATCTTACGAAATTCTGATGTAGAAGATTATGAAAGAAACAAAATTGTGACACTTTCAGCTCGTGCTGTGACCTTGGCGAAGATCAGCAAGTCGTCGGACACGTACATATAAGGATAACAATGTGCTTCAGGCTAATTTCGCAACTTACGATCTTGTTGACGCTACTGAGTTCTAGTCTGACGATAACTCGGTTGATCAATTCGGATTTTCTGTACTTTCCTGATCAAGTAGATTACATAAGAGTGTCGGCAAGATGTCCTGACAATTTGATCCTCTGGCCAGTGGACGGTCGTTGTTATCGGGAAGGAGAACAAGGACCCTGCAGTATCAACAACGTTCTGTACTTCGACAGACGTTTACTAAAACCGGAATGTCGAAAGGCATGAAGTATATCCAATAGAAATATGCTTTACTTGCAGTCGCGAAGCTCTTGCCATCTGCCGGAAAGGTTGTCTAACTGTACGAAGCTACCACGAGAGATGGCAGCAGTTGTGATATCGAGCGAGTACAGAGATCCTCAACTTTCTATAAACTTATAAGTTTTAGGCTATATCACGTAGTAGTAAAACTGGAGACTGACGATAAACTGCCTTTATTGTAAGTGTACGTATTCTGTACGTGCATCGCTATTAACATGAGCCTTTTATGACGATGTTATTCAGTTTGAGATAGTTGTTGCGATACGGTGAATAATAGTTTACGACGTTCTTGCGAAATAAACCCGTTTGCCAATACGTTTTACGATATTTTACGCATAGATATTTTTAAACGCAATTAACCCTAACCTTTTTAAGTGTGACTGTTAATGAAATTCAATTACGTAACGCTTACCAGATGCTCAGTCGCTTAGTCAATAGAAGTTACGTGATAGCTGACGGACAAAAAGATTATTGAACTTTAACTCTTTTTCTGATATTGACCACCCGCTGTCCCGACTACACCGGTTATGATATATATTTCGAAGAAAAGTGTAACATCGATTTGCGATTTCGTACGTCAGCTTACAATATGGACAAGCCGAAGGGACGAAAAATGACTGGAGGATGAAACCTGGTGACTATGAAATGGTCGTTTCAACATATTTCAGTAAGTTTTTGCGTTCCGATATTCGTCCTGCATGACAAGCATTTGAAATATTGTCGATTGAGCCTTGGAAACACGTGGGATTTGGCTTGACTATTCATACACGTAAACTATTATGAATAAAATGGTCTGAATACGGACGTAATAAAGTAATTGCGTGAAAGGAATAACAGCTCCGAGTGTATTCCCCTTAAATATAATAGCGCTCACCAGTATCCATCATAGGATTCTTACAAGACACAATAAAAATAAGGAACCCTCACATAACAAAGGTATGGCTAATTAATATATTATAATGCAATCCTTTGAGGAAGCTACCACCGTTGAAATATCATATATAGATAGGTACCATTAATACCCATTAAATTCCCTGCTAATGTTCGCTTAATCAATGTCTCACACGTAAATTACAGCGCCTTCCAAGAAGCGGCTTGCGCAACCTATCAACGTCCGAACTCTCGTAAATCATAAAGGCTACCAGGCTACTCGATTTTACCTAAAATGTCAAAAACTATAGCGCGCTCACAACCCTCCCGTGGGAGCTCATGCGACCAGTAAATTTCACGCCAACAAATCGTACAACATGCTACCCAAGGTGTCTATAGCATTAACGTTCGATCATTTGTCAGAGTCCGATCAGCTACTATAGGCCTACCTAACATGGTACGCAGGGTTAGCGATCTAAAATGGATGGCTGATCCTCCGCCAGCAGCAAGAAGGTTCACGATATTGTGAAATCGTAATGTCCACGTTGCTCCGTGTCTCGTGCACTGACATTCAGGATATAGGAATTCTCTTATACCTTTTTTTTTGCTAAGTACATTTCAATATCCGATGAAATAGTCTATGCTTTGGGGACATGGGTCAGAACGAATAGAGATGGAAGGGTGAATGGTAGGTCGTTCTGAAAAGGCACGAAAGGGGCGAGTATATCTAGAAATAAGAAGAAGGTAGAGGTATAAGCAGGTAGGTAGTAGGTGGTAGTCGAGAAGGTGGGGCGGTCGCAGAGGGTGCAATATTCTTGGCTCGCATTGTACGTGTCCCATAAGTTGGCAGCCAAGCTCCCTTTCAGCGACAGCTTGACAGAACATACGCTCCCCTCCCCGCACGTTCCTTCAGGACCGCTCTCGAAAATAAAAGTTTATAAGGTGGCATCTGTGTAGGTATGCTCGAGAGTGAAGGTTGAGTTAAGAGAGAAGACATAGGTACGATGGAAGAGAGTGGGGGGAGTGGGGGG